TTCTCGCCAGCGACGTGATCTCTTCGCCGGAAAGGCTGAAATCGAACCCAACCATCAGAATAATTTGTGAGTTTGTTTGTTGTTTTCATGCTTTCCTTTTATAAGGGAGGCGAGGGAGGTGGATGTCATCGAACTCTCCGTGCGCGGCGTGCAAGTTCCTGCGGCGGAAGTGCACGCCGGGATGCGTATTTGCACCATACTTTCCGCCGGACCAGCCTACCAAGTTCGCGTATGTGCATCGGGTGTTTGGGGCCAGCAACGTGTCCAAGATTCTCAGCGACCTGAACCCCGCACAGCGGGAGGACGCGGCCAATTCGCTGGCCTACGAAGCCGAGGCACGGCTTCGCGACCCGGTCTACGGCTGCGTAGGTTACATCTCGTTCCTCCAGCACAAGCTGAAGCAGCTCCAGCATGATCTCTACAACGCCAAGAAGGAGCTCTCGAGCTACATCGGCCCTGCTGCACTGGGGCCCTTCCTTCCCCATCACCACCACCAGCGTCAGCACCACCTCCTCCCTGGGCCGTCTCCCTCCTCGACCGCTTACGGCATTCCGGGAATGGGGGTCGAGATGGGGCTCGGCCTTGCTGCACCCGGCACGTCGCAGCAGTCCCAGATCCTGATGCGCGAAGAGCAGCAGCCGCCGATGGCCGAGGCCCAGCAAATGGCCATGGCTCATGCGGCCGCAGCCAGAGAACAGGAGATGATGATGAGGAGATATGAGCAGCAACAGGAGCTTGCGAGGTTTAGCACTACAGGTTTTCCGGATGGCGGTAGGGGCTATAACCAGATCGGTAGTGGCACCATGGTGGCAATGGCGACAGAGCCTCATCCTGGGATGGATTTGGTTCCTTCTCCACTGTCATTTGAGGGGCCATTTCCGGCACAACACTTCACCGGGCAGCACCACCATCATCCGCCGCAGATGCAGCCAGAGCACCATAGAACCGGGAGCGACGAGGGGAGGAGTGGCATCGGTCCATCGTCTTGAAAAAGACGAGTAAAAGAAGAAAAATTAAGCAATCACTTTTAATTGCTGAAAATATAGTTCAAACTTAGTCATAATTCTCTGTAACTTCTGCTAAAGACGGCATGCAGCTCTCCTCTCTGAGTTATAGAATTCTCTCCTTCTTCTGCCACTCAAATGGCATCTCTTCGAATAAATGATCAAGTATAGAACTCTATTTATGATATCCTTCTTCCAACCGAGATTGGATTTCTGCTTCGATTATATCTGCCATACTTCAATTTTTTGTGCAACTCATGAACTGCGGCTCCTTCTCGAGTTAAGAGACCTATGAAGTTGCTTCCTTTTCCAGATTGAGTAAGCAGTAAAAGACGGAAGCCTGTGATACACCTTAATGCTTTGCTTCGATGACATCATGACCACTTTGAATTCCCAAACAGCTCCATCTGTTTCGCTGATTTCTGTGCATAACTACTAAAGAACATGAGAGAAGACACAGCTGCTAGCAGGAAAAGCGTATCAGAAAAAGAGAACAAACGGAAGGAATGACGCAGCATCGATGTGTATAGAAGTAGCAGGGATAAGATCACTCGCAGGAAAAAAGAATCAGAACCAACCTTGTATCACTTATTATTCTTTTGGCCGTGAGATCGTATCAATCTTTTTCTGCAATCTTTTAAGAACCTCTTTTGCCCTCATCAAGTCCTTTGTTCTTATTTTGGGACAGTACCTTTTCTTTTGGGGATGTCACATGCGATTCTTCTCTTCTCTCCTTTCTTTCGGTTTCCACTTGGTTTCGAACTTTCTGATATCAATCCACTTTGTTGTTGCTTGGCATTGAGCAGTTTCTATGAATGTAGCTGTCATTCCGCTTATCAAAGTCGTGGCATAGCCATGCAGATCAGAGGAGTTCATGTTGATCGAACACGGCACCGACCAATATGAATGGTCCTGACAAGGGTCATCAACCTATGTCGATCACATATGAAATACTTCCCTCCTCTCCGGTGCAAGTCATATTTCCTTTTCGTGTGCGTAGATTATTCCACACCCAAATAAATGCCGAGAAGTAGGTCAAAACTGCAACCGTCCTCTCTCTTGCAGAAAACAAAGATGAGCTGTGGAGCTGAAATATATGATCCAAAACAGTGTCAGGCCGGCAGTACTCAGATCTCTCTCTCTCTCTCTCTCTCTCTCTCGTGCGCCTGACAGGTTTGGAAGGCATATAATTATATCGGTTTGGCTTCCGAGTTCATGGAAATCGATGCTAAGCTATTGAATGAAGCGGATAACTAGCTTCTACGATGAGAGGTATTGACTGCTGAGACGCACCGAAAGAAGGTGATTTCCTGGTGGACTAGAAAACCGATGCTAGGAAGTGTACTAGACTTGCATGTGATCTTTAAGAGAGAGATTTAATGCCGATCTGCTGACGACTTGGTTTCATGCAACATGGCGATTAGTATGCGGCTTAGTTTAGTGAAAGGCTTCAGCTCATGTGGATGCAAGGAAATCGAGATATCGGTGCACGTGCATTGGGCAGGCAGAAAGCTCTCGGGGGGCGGGGAGGAGTGCTGTGAGTAATGAGTAGAAGGCGGAACGGTGGTGGTTGTTGCCGGACTTCCCCCTTCCTTCACCAGTAGATGAGGAGCTGTGAGAATGCCGATCGTATGTTACTTTGTTAGATAAAAGATACGAAAAATAGAGACGACCTATCAGTACTGCTAACCCATGTTATCGGTGGTTTACACCGAGGTGGATGATCAAACTCACTTGGTTCAAAGTCTCAATTGATGATGAGAATCCATGAGGTCCTGTGACAACATCCAACCCCAGTGTGTCTCTCGATAATATTCCATCGATGTTCAAGTTAGGATACTATGAAATGAATTTATATATCCTAAAAAGATATTTTAATTTGTATTTGTAGACCGCTTCTAAAATCAAGACACTGTAACCCATAATAAATTTGTGAGATCATCCAATGTGCGTGATGATCATCAAAGAAGAACGTAATTTTGTCTACTGAACATTTGGTGTAGACACATTAATAGTGATTAGTTTAGCAAACATATAAATACTTGGATGAAACACACGACTATGTCATGAAATATATCATATCCCCAACACTAAAGGGTTAAAATGGACTAGTATTGAATGTACTAACTTAATGATCAATCAGTGTATGTCATTATATTAATCATTGTAAAAAATATTTTTTTCGTGACATTTTTGTGGTTACAGTATTAAAATTATTGTTGTGGCAAGATA